TTTTTTGTTATAGCTTTCATATAAAAAGGTTTAAATTAGTTTCATAATAGGGGTGTGTACATTGGATACTTTTTCCTCCATTCTTGTGATACTTGAGACCCAGTCTTTAAATACACACATACATACATACATATATACATACATACCTGAAGGAGGTAAAGGGAGCCATGCAGAGGAGAAGAGCCGTCCAGGCATTGAAAACAGCAAGCGCAAATGACCTGAGGTAGGAATATAGGTATTGAGTTTAAGAAAGGAGGCAATATAAGTGAAGGGGATAGGAAGAAGGGAGGAAGGAAAGTTAGGGAGGTGACTGTCATTTGTGTTTTCTCCTTCTTGGACCATATCCTTACCCAAATCATCTGACTTCCCTCAAAGGCCTGAAGACAGAGAGCCCTTGGGCTGGCCGCTAGAGGCCACCCTCCCAATGGCTCACAGGGTTACTGCATTATCTCATAGTTGGCTCTAGGTAAACCCTGTCAGGGATGTCCAACCTGGGTCCTCTGAGGCCACATGCTGATTTTGTCAGGACTTTTTTTGCTGATCTATGGTGTCAAGATATCATGAAAAGTGGCTTGACACCTGTAGATCAGCGGCTAGGGCGCCAGACACATATACCTAGGGCTGGAAGTTTCAAACCAGGCCCCATCCTACCAAATAACAATAACAACAACAACAAAATAGCCGGGCGTTGTGGTGGGGCACCCTGTAGTCTCAGCTAATTGGGAGGCTGAGGCAAGAGAATCACTTAAGCCCAAGAGTTTGAAGTTGCTGTGAGCTGTGACTCCACAGCACTCTACCAAGGGTGACATACTGAGACTATGTCTCAAAAAAAAAGATTTCATGAAAAGTATGCACAGACGTTTCTTTTCCAATCTGCTTTTGTTAGTGCTTGTGTATGTAGCCCAAGACAACTCATATTCTTCCAGTGAGCGACAAGGAAAAGGAAGGTTGGACAGCCCGGACCAAACTGTTCTTCAAATGCCATTCTAAGGACTTTATATAGAAGAAGTCAGCTCATCCTCCTACATCTTTATGAGTTAGACACATTAATTTTTTTCTTTTTTTTTAGACAGAATCTCACTTTGTCACCCCGGAGAGCCATGGCATCACAGCTGATAACAACCTCAAACTCTTGGGCTTAAGCGATTCTCTTGCCTCAGCTTCCTAAGTAGCTGGGACTACAAGCACCCGCCACAACACCCGGTTGTTTTTTGGTTGTAGTTGTCATTGTTGTTTTGGCAGGCCCGGACTGGTTGAACTCGCCATCTCTGGTGTATGTGGCTGGCGCCTTAGCCGCTTGAGCTACAGGTGCCGAGCCAATGCCCAGTTATTTTTAAGAGTAGAGGTGTAGCTGCTCTGGCTCAGGCTGGTCTCCAACTTGCGAGCTCAGGCAATCCACCCTCCTCAGCCTCCAAGAGTGCCAGGATTACTGCCCTGAGCCACTGCGTCCAGCCACTAATTATTTTTCTGTACTCCCAGCTACTCAAGGGTCTGAGGCAGGTGAACTGCTTTAGCCCTGGAATTTCAGGCTGCAGTAAACTATGATGACCTTGCTGCACTTCGGCCTGAGCAACAAAGCGAAACTTTATTTCTGGTTTTTTGTTTTTTGGGGTTTTCTTTACAGTTTTTTTTTTTTTTTTTT